CAGCAGGTCCAGCCAGACTGTCAGACACCGGCAGACACCCTCCAGCGCGACGGCCAATGCCATGGCTGCCCAGACGCGCACAGTCGCCGATGCGCGATAGCACTGCTATCAACTCCAACAAGGCGGGCCGCTTTCCTATACACCGCTGCTTACTCTGCACGGCACCATATCAACGCCCATACGGCCCTGTGCAGCTCCACGTCACTCCACGTTTCTTAACTAAGAAGGACCTTATCTCGTCCTCCTCCCCCGTGCGACAGAAGCCTGAGTCATTGGAGCTGCCGCCTCCTTGTCGTTGTTTGCTGTGTTGGCCTCCGGTCACGACCTGTACGACCGACATGGGGCCTGCATTCCCCAGCCTGAGACCTACTGCACACTCCCAAACGACCCTCCCGTTGGGGAAATCCATGTTTACGACGAATGCGAAGCTAGGGGCCTCTTCCCAAGTCCACTCCGGAACTTGCAGCATTCACCCGTTGATTGTCAACCGCCTCAAGCTCCCTCCGGCTCCCGTCGGCCATCTTTGGTCGTCGCAGATCGTGCTGCGTGCCACAGGATGATCTGCACCCAAGGGCTTGGTCCGAGAAGCTTGGAATGGTCACGCTGCGCTCTGCTGCAGCCCAATTACCACGTAGGAAAAATCCACGGCCAACCATCCCCCGACTCAAACGGCCGTGGAACCCACGATATCTCCACGCAACTTATTCAAAACGAGAAAGCATGGCATCTCGATCGGAGTGGCCGATCCGAAATGACAGGTACATTGATACCAAGCACCAGAAATGCCCGGCTACTCTGATTTCGGGCTTCTTCGACGTCCTCTCCAGCCACCTACCCATGAGATCGGAAGAGACCGCGTTGCGAGTACACGTTTTCAGCAGCCCCGGCAGAACCTCGATATTACCCTCCCTGCCGGTACATCCAAAAGAAGCGCAGCTATGATGGACTTCCCCCGAACCCCATGGCTCTTATACCCAAGTCTCTAACAACATACTGCAGGTGTCTGCAGTAAGGAACACAAATGTTCCACTCATGTGCCCGATACCGGAGACATCACAATCACACACGAGGTGTGCCATCGTAGGATTTGGTGGCGCTTCCGAACGTCGCAACCACAAATCCACCGACTCGCGAGCGAGCGAACCCGCCGAATTCGAACAGCCGCCGGAGCACGCAGCTCAGCTCAGCTCAAAAACATTAAGAAATTCCTTCTCCCGCGTTTTACGTGGTTCCCACCACGCTGGCTGCACCTCATCCACACCATTAATAGGACCCGGTTCTTAGCAGCGGTTCAACCGCGTTGGAAAAACGCACCCCGCTGCATCTAATGTGCGGGGTGTTTCGCTCGCTTCGGTACCCCGGACTCTGGCTTTTGTCCTGTTGGGGAGTCTGGGTGTCTCTACTTTAGTTGTTCGGTGACTTAACGTCCGTGTTAAGGCTAATTCGTTTTTTCTCGTCAATGTCTATCTGTCGTATCTTTTGTCAATTCTGTGTTGATTCCTTGTCGTGCGATAGCATATACTACGCTGTAGGTAGATAGTCTATGTGGTTCGCAGGTCTAGTTTAGGACTAGTACTTCTCTTTAATTCTAGTCGTTCATTCATTGATCAGAATAAGCACTTCTTCTATAGTCAGCTACGTTGACTAGCCTTCAGCAGAAGCAGGCACCTTAAAGGGACCTTCACTCTATGAACTACACCACGACCTCTCGTTCAAGTCTGCCTATAAAGAACACCGAACACATGCAACTGAGAACCAAGGATAGAACAATCTTCTTCAATCACCAGCCATAAAGGCCAGAGACCAACGAAAATTTGTTTGAAGCTACAAGCCTGGCAGGCGAGCGAGGGGATCTCCGACCTTCGAAAAGGCAGAAATCATGAATACAACAAGGAGCCCAGTGTTCACTCTTACAATAAATTGCGGTGAACCTTCAAGGCGGTCGGTAGAGAGGTCCAGATGGGACTAAAAGAAGAAGAAGAAGAAGGTTGGCGCAGTTCAGTTCAGTTCAGTTCAGCCCAGTCCAGACACCGGTACCGCCGCGGTTCGGCGCGGTTCGAATGGACCTCGAAGACGACGTGCCGGTCAAAACAAGCTCGCCGAAGTCGGGAGAAGGTCCTGCCGGCAAGGGACGGAAAGAGGAGGTAGAAGGGTGGGCCACCAACTGCAAGCAGTGGAATGAGCAGGCACGGAGGAGTTGGTGGGGGAGAGTGGAGGAGGGATTGAGGGTGAGGGCTTATATACGGTGGGCGAAGGGCTGGCGCTAGTAATGTCAGCAGAAAACAAGCGAGCACGGGGTTGGTGACGGCGGCCGGAATGGGCTTAGGTGGGGAGGGGGAAACGGCGCGCGCGGCGGAGGCGGAGGCGGAGTGAAGGTGGGAGAGTGGAGCGCGCGCACAGGTAGCCCCCCGGCGTGGAAGGGCGTAGAGGCCTGGAGAAGCGAGCCTGCGAACTGGGGAGTGAAAGCTACTGTACGCCCAGAGCAAGAGCTCGCAACCGCGTTTCTCAAGCCCTACTGTGAGCGGTATGTACAGTAAGTCCGTTCATTTCTTGTCGTGTCGCTGCACGTAGTCCACCCGTCTGTTTTTTCCCAGGAGGAGTCTCTTTCTGCAGACCGGAGCCGCAAGCCCTCTGCATGTAGCCCGGCACGGCAACCTTTTCTGCGTCTTCGGCCAATTGGAATAGATAGATGTCCGGGGGCGAGAAGAAGGGTTGCAAACGAAGCATGTGAAGCCGAACTAAACTGCGGAGGGTGGTGGGTAGGTCCTACTGTCCACGTCTTTACTGTCGACTGGACTGGACTGGCTGGTCCGCGTGGGAAACCTGGCATGCCTAACACGACTCGACTCGACGCTGTTTCGCGGACGGTGGGGCTTTATGCTTGCGCGTCTCGTGTCAGTAGGAGTACCTGCCGTTGAGGCAGGGCATAGCAGGTGCGATGGTATGCAGTCTCGTTGAGCCGTGGCACATGTACTTTACTTTGCACCAGCGACACACACTCGCCCAATAGTAGTGGATGGCGTCCATCCTACTTCTCCCGTCTCCGGGGAACATGTCGTAGTGCATCTTGGCTTGTGGGGGCTTGGAAGATGAGGAGAAGGTCATAACGAGTCGATTCGCGGGTTGGCGGTTGTATTGCGGGAGTCCGTGGTTTGCTGTCGATTTCGCTGGCGAGTGGGTGGGGACAAGGTTCTATAGGTGGTTGTTTGGAGGTGAAGGGTTGGGGTAGCTGCGGGACTTATAACGTAGAGGTATAGGTAGTAATAGGGGGGGGCATGGTAAGGAAGGTTGCGTGTGGTTGAATGATAGTGGTGATGGGGTGATGTAGGGATTGCGAGCAGACAGACAATGGTTTGAGGGGTAGATAGAGATTAGAATGGCATAATGAAGTAGACGAAGTGCTACTGGGTCTCGTTGACTTTAGGGTAAGAGCGAGTTACTAGCTCAAAGTCGCCTTCCCCAAACACGTTGCACTAGCCAAATTTACCATGTGTAGATGTCTCTAGCCGATGGACACTGTATGGGTGCTGTGCTCCGTTGCTGTCCGCTTGCGCTGCTTCAGTGGGTTGAAGCTAGACGCGCTCAGATACCCCCTTCTTCAAAGTGAAGTCCGACCCCCCGACGACTTCAGAGTGAAGTCTGCTGGCTTGTATGAGGCTTCGGGGTACCGATACCTCTACTTTAAAGGCGCAACCCATCCATCGACCACTCCATCGGCATCTTCGTAAGTCCGCCCGGACAGAATACATGTCAGACAGGAAGCGAGTGGTGCTTTGCCCAAGCCTCCATGCAACCCCACCCATCACGACCCCTCCTTCTTCGCCTCCCTCCTCTTCTCCTTATCCCACTCCTTCTGCTCCGCCCGAAACCGCTCTTTCTTCTCCAAATACCCCCTATGCATCTTCGCCCGCTCCCACACCTCGCGAAACACCAACGACGCCTCCAGCTTCTCCTCCGCGCCCGCATGCCCCTCACTCTTCTCCAGCTCCTCGCCAGTAGCCTTGTCGTACTTCCGGCCGCCGGCATGGTTGGCGTAGCGTTTTGCGCGCGTCATGCCCTGCGCCCCACCGTTACTAACTTCTCATTCTGGCCGCAGTTGCCCGATCTCTTGAGTGAATAAAAACATTCCAGCTAGGTAGATACATCTACGTATTACGTACCATTTGCAGAAACTTGCGACACATATCCATGCCTACGAAATCGTCGTGCGTGTCGTATTCTTCGAATTTCGAGTATATGTTCGTTGAGCTTTGGCGCGCGATGGCGGGCGTTTTGAAGCGCCAGAGCGGGAGGATGGCGGATTTGTAGGGCTCGAAGGTTAGGACGCCTTGTTCGCCGCGGCCGATGCGGTAGCTCATGCGCTGGGCTTTGGGGAGGGGCTGTGATGGAGGCATGTTTTAGAGGTGGAGGTTGTGGTTTGGAGTTGCTAGAATGGTGGTTGTGGTTTCAGACTCCGTCTAGTGGCTTGAATGACGTAGTATATCTGGAGTCGAGCGTTCTTTGATCATGTCTTGCTACAGACAAAGGATCGAGGATTGTCATGAGCCAGGATTGAGCACTGTTGAGCGTGTTAGCTACTGAGATTCGTGGTACATCCGAGCAGCAAGTCCTAGACTATCGTTGCGTAGCAGCTTATGCGATAACTTCGGGGTTCTTCATAGAAACCTACATATCTAGTATTGGAATGGGGGTCGAGAGACTCTGTTAAATGAACTATTTATCAGCCAACGATAATTCTGAACGTTGTCTTTGAGTAAATCAGCAGTGCATGCATGAGTGGAGCCGTGACCCGCCCCAACCCGATGCCCAGAGACCACCCCCACTCGCCCCTCCTTTCCCGCAGCCCCACCAACCCCGCTATTCTAGCCAGAACCTCGCTACACAAAGAGTTACAAATGAGCTCACCACTAGCTCATGTGCTGACATTTTTGTCCGAGTATATATATTTAAACTTCCGGAAATCTGCCAAAACGTCCTCGAACGCCGTGAAGGCAAAATCTGGTTGTGTAGTGTAGTGGTGATCACTCCGGATTTTGATAAGCTCTTCAGAAATTTTCCGGCAACCCCGGTTCGAGCCCGGGCACGACCTGTCTTTTTTTTGGTTTTGTTTTTGCTGCTGCTGGTCAAGACCTACCTCATGATGCACGCGGCGAGTAAGCGAGTGAGCGTCTTTTTTTAGCTTTCGAAGGTCGTTGGGAGCCTGCCTAACTGATGATGTAAGTGAAGAAGACCCTATCGCATTAAGAGTGTGGAGAGGTAAAATGGCAGTGTGAGACTATTGTATTGTTTGAACGTAGATGATAGTAGACTACCGCATATGCCCAGTACAGCTCAGTTATATTAATTTATGCGGCACCGACGCATCTGCATTTGCTTGTTTGATAGCAAGCCACATGCTAAGTGCGGCCAGCCCACCCATGAAGCCGACTGCAAGAAAAGCTGCCAAGAAAGGGATCACGGGCGGTCTCCTAGACTTCATCATGTCGAGGATCTCTGATTCCAGCGTTTCCGCCATCTTCTCCTTAGAGAACTCTGAGATCACTCGCTCCCTGCCCCACTTGCCCATCTCCTTGAGCCTTTCCTCACCTTCTCCGTCCTCTAATGCAATGCGCATAACCTCTGTCCAGTCCTGTACTTTCGTTACATCCCTCAGCCAGCCTGTCTGCCCGCTGATAACCGTCTCTGTCGGACCTCCTTCATTCGCCGCCAGGACGGGGGTTCCCGCTAACATAGCCTCGAGCGGCACAATGCCGAAGTGTTCGTTGCACGGCGTGTAGACAAGTAGGCGCGAAGTCGAGAGAAGTACGGATTTGAACGCGTTCGGCACGGAGTGCAGGAAGAGGATCGAAATGTCGTCGGGAATACGCTGCGCCGTGATGATTGTTTTTGCCGTTGCATGCTTTAGATCTAACGAATCTGCTAGCTCGCAGAGTTCGTTGTATGTCTCGAGATTCTCTGCGACTCGGGAGTCGTAACCACCTGCTACCACAAGCCGAGTATTCGTGCGCTCCGCAAGCGTAAGCCCCGCGAACGCCTTGATCGCTAGACCGACATCTTTCTTCCCCTCAAACCGGTTGATACTGAGCAGAATTTTCTTTTTAGACCACAGCGGGGTGACCTCGTCGATGGCATCTCCAAGGACTGTGTCGACGCATGGATACACCACGCCTGGTTTTCGGTGTTTCAGGCCCGGGAACGCTTCTCCAAACACGCTCTTTGTGAATTTGCTGTTGACCACGATCGTGTCGCTGCATCCTGTACTCCAGTTCTCTAACCAGTCAAACGGCCCTCGATATAGCGTTTTCAAGATTCCACCCTTCTTCGCAAGTAGCTTATCCGGAAAATGACAGTAGAATATGACGCGTGGGTTCGGTAGGAGGAGTCTGAGGAGGGGAATGCCGGCGCTGAGCTGGTCGACGAAGAATGACGTAGGTCGGAGATTCTGTAGCTCTGCCGTGAAAAGGGCTATTTGAAGAATCAAGTGCGCCTGCCGGAGGATAGCACAGAGGATCGCGAAGCGGCCGAGGATAGTGGAGGGGACGATCGAATTCCCGCGTACGCGCACATCGAGGGTCCCTTTCGAACGCGGTCAAGTCTCAGCTACATTCGTCCAAGTATGAGCGGCGGGATGTCGTAAGGCGCAACTGGGAACTCACCATCGCGGGCTTCGTCGAAGCAGTGGCCGGGATCGCAGTGTGAGGTGAAGATGGTGACTTTGTGGCCTCTGCTCTGGAGGCCAACAGCAGCATCAATGACTAGTCGCTCGGCACCGCCGATACCCAGGTCCGGATGGAAGAAGGCGATATTCTGTTTCCTAGAGGCCATGGTTGTGACTTGAGCCACGTTCGCATACGTGTTGCGTCGAAGAAGGTGGGTGAACTCGACCTTACCGCTTCGGGAAATGCAGCCGAGGCACCCTTGAACGCTCCAGGCTGTGGATGACCTCCAACTCACGGCACCTGATCCGATCCTCACGACTACCACCCTCGAACCCACAGCGGATGACATCGTACGCTTCCGACGCCAACACTAACATCGTGCAGTGAACGATTGCTCGATAGCCAGCTCATCGTCGCTCATAAAGTCCCAATATGCGGGCTGAGAGGCAACCTCGCAGCGCGTCTTTCCGCTAAATCCTCCTCCTCATCCAGGACCATGGGCCAAGGATTCTCTCTGACGACGCTGTCGGCTGGCTCGGCCAATATAGATGTGCCTGAGCTGGCCGACATCCAATATGAAAAGTCGCTCGGAGCAGCCCGGTTCATGAAAACGGTCAGGGCGCGGCATAAAGACGGTCTGGTCGTGTCAAGGGTCGTTATGAAACCATATGCACAGTTCAACCTTGATATCTATGTCAAACGCCTTCTTGGTAGGTCCAGTCTTGATGATGCGTGATTCGAGGGTTTCTAACCATCTGCAGATGAACGAAAGCTTCTTGCCGATGTACCAAATGCTTTGGCCTACCACCGGATCCTCGAAACTGCTGTTGGTGGTTACCTCGTGCGCCAGTACATACATAGCTCATTGTATGATCGATTGAGGTAGGGCACTTTGCCTTTTAATCACCCTGGAGATAACGTCTAACATCGAACAGCACTCGTCCATTTTTAGAAGAGATTGAGAAGAAGTGGCTTTCATTCCAACTCCTGTGTGCGGTTCGGGATTGCCATGCTCGTAACTTGTACCATGGGGATATCAAGACAGAAAACGTGCTCGTCACTTCTTGGAATTGGCTGTATCTCGCCGATTTCTCGTCCGCCTATAAACCTGCCTACTTGCCTGAAGACAATCCCGCTGACTTCTCGTTTTACTTCGACATGTCAGGTCGTCGTACGTGTTATCTAGCACCCGAACGATTTCTTGCCGCTGGTGCTCAGCCCGAAGGCGACCAGACTGTCACCTGGGCAATGGATATCTTTAGCGTAGGATGTGTTATTGCAGAGCTCTTCCTGGAAGCACCCATATTCTCTCTGAGTCAGCTTTTCAAGTATCGACAAAAAGAATACGATCCGGCGCACTCGCATCTGAGCAAGATTCAGGACAAGAACGTCAGAGAGTTGATCATGCATATGATTCAGATCGACCCGAACTCAAGATTATCTGCCGAAGACTATCTCAAGTACTGGGAGGGGAAAGCGTTTCCTCGGTACTTCTATGGGTTTCTGCAACAGTATATGCACTCCATCACCGATCCATCGTCGGGCAAGAGCCCCGTTACAACAGGCACCGAACATCTTGGAGAGCCGGATGACCGGATAGAGCAGATATACAACGACTTCGACAAGATCTCACATCTTTTGTCCGGCAATGAGGGAACCGAACTGTCGAGACCGCAACACTCGCCTCCGAATCCCAACACCAAGTTGTTTCCCCTGTGGGTGGATATTCCAAATTATCAACACCAAGCCTCTCCTGCGCCAAGTTTATCCATTGACGACGGAAACCTTGTATTCCTCACCATCGTCGTTTCTTGCATTCGGGGCACAGCTAGAGCATCAGCTCGGGTTCGAGGGCTCGAACTTCTTCTTGCTTTTGCTGAACGACTAACGGATGAAGCCAAGTTAGATCGAGTCGTTCCCTACGTGGCGACACTACTAAAGGACAAATCGGAGCAAGTCAAGATTGCGGCGCTGAGAACAATGACCCAGATCCTCGCTATGGTGCACGTTGTTTCGCCGATCAACGCGTACATTTTCCCCGAGTATATTCTGCCGCGATTAGAGCCTTACCTCCCAGATTCCTCTATCCATACAAGCCCACTCGTCCGCATGCACTATGCGTGGTGCATTGGTACCTTGGCTACGACAGCGGCAAGATACCTCGACATGATACAAGCGCTCCGTACTGAGGGGTCTTTACCAACTATAGATCCGGAAGCTGAGGATGACTTAACTTCGTCCGCCCATCGAAATCAGTTTGATTCAGATCGACAGAACTTACTGGAGGCGTTCGAAAAGCACACTAAAGCACTTCTTACAGATTCAGACGCGCCAGTCCGCCGTGCTATGCTTCGGTCCGTGTCCGATCTGTGCGTGTTCTTTGGGAGTCCTCGGGCCAATGACGTTGTCCTAAGCCATTTGAACACATATCTCAATGATCCGGATTGGATGCTCAAATGTGCTTTCTTCGATGCTATTGTTGGTGTCGCAGTCTTTGTGGGTGGCGCAAGTCTTGAAGGATATATCCTACCGTTGATGGTTCAGGCATTGACTGATCCAGAGGAGTTTGTAGTGGAGAAGGTCATCCGGGCCTTTTCTTCCATCGCCGAACTTGGTCTTTTCCAAAGATCAAAAACATGGGAGTTGGTTGATATCGTTGCACGCCTAACCATGCATCCAAATCAATGGGTTCGCGAGGCAGCTGCGCAGTTCATCTCGGCAGCATCTAAATACTTGTCTGTGGCAGATAGACACAGCATTCTGGTCAATCTCATCAAGCCATATCTCAAAGTAGTTCCATCCGAGTTTTCAGAGCTCCGGTTACTAGACTGCTTGAAGAAGTCTCTGCCTAGGTTAGTCATGGAAATGGCCTCAAATTGGGCCACTCAGTCACAAAAAGGTCTCTTCTGGGTTCCCGCTCGACAACAACAAACCTTTACTTTCGGATCAACAGAGGACAATCTACCTACCATTTCTGGTCGAGAACTAGACCCCAATGTCTTGCAGAGAATGTCTAAGAACGAAGAAGATGAGCAGTGGTTGCGAAAACTACGTAACGCTGGATTGACACCAGAAGACGACTTCAAACTCGTTGCACTGCGCGAGTTCATCTGGAGAGTTATACATCGCCGGCGAGCAGACAGCACAACCTCTCCACCGTCCAAGTTCAACAACATTGTACCTCTAAAAGACTTAGGTATTAAGCCACTTACAGTACTGTTCGAGAATGCACGTCAAACAGTGGAGCAATCACGGAAGGCTGAACCACGCGTAGAGGCGTACAAGCCGTCTCGAACAATCGCAGACGCCTTGCTCGACGCCTCTACTACCGAAGCCAACGAGCTTGCATTAAGAAAAGTTCCTCATGCTGATACTCAACCCGGACGACTAGCACGCGAAGAGAGGCCAGGCCGTATTTCGATACCGTCAC